ATTAATTTATTTTTTATTAAAGGCAATTTGATACAGTTTTAAGACGATTATGCGAGTTCAACAATTGGAACTACGATATGCCTCACGAATCCGAATTTATCCAATACTCTCATTTGATTTATTGTTCTCTTAGCACAAAGATTTAATCTTATTAGCTATGCGATTAATCCTCAAAATAGTGTGATTTGGGAATTTATATTATATTAGTATTTTGGAATTTGTTTCCTACAACCTGGTTGGCTATTAGCAGTGCGGCGCATCCTCTCAACCAATCATATTGGAGTACTGACCTCAACCAACCAATCATAATTAATCTTAGGATTCAAACAGCCAATCAATTTTAAGAAAAATGTGATATAGCAAATGAGCAAAACAAAGAATTTATACATATGTCATAACTACTCTTGACTGCCTACGCAATTTTTTGTACATAAAAATGAACAAATATGGTTAGCTAAACTATCAAACAATTGCGAAAAATTTTCACAAAGAGTAACAGGCAAATTAAGAACAATAACTTCTAGCAAACATGGTCAAATTCGCCTACCGTAGTTCCGATGTTTGAACGCACAAAACTGTACCAAAACTACATATCAAATCTCAAACTTATAATATGTCTAATTAACTTGCTTGTGTTGTCTCCTATACATTATGAACCTCTTCACTTCTTTAACATTTTTCACTTGATTTACCTGAATTTTTCGAACTGAACGTTCTTTAAACCGTATTTTTTGAAAATTTGAAGTTTCTAGACCGTCGGAAATGGAATTTTTAGAGTCTTTCCTACCCAATATTTTAGTATTGCCTAACAATGAAGATAAGTATTGCTACTTTCAGTATATTATGGGACATTGAGAAAATTTTGGAAATTTGGAGTCTCCAGATCGTCAGAAAGGGTATTTCGCAATTGTCTCCCTGCCACAACACGTCTCAACGTCTTTAGTTTGTTTGATTGTTAACTCCAATTCAGATTAGAGAGTTCACTTTTTTATGCCCTGAGAATTACCTGAATTTACCTTAAAATCTACAGGATATCTACCTGAAATTGTTCATGAGCAATATTAGGGGTGTTGCACCCTCCCTCCCCCGGTCGCTAGGGCCCTGAGAACTTAGCAAATCTGTAGATTTCAGAAGAAACAGCATACACTGACATTTAACTTTTGAGAATTTTAATGGAAAGACAGCCATATGTACATTTACGACATAGAGAACATACGAATATATGTAATTATGTGCATATAATGTTGCTACTTTCAAGTTTAAATCTCATTTGCGTGGCGTGGTTATTCTCCGTCAAAACGTTTTTAGTCCAGGATAAAATGTTTTGGAAATTCCTTAAAAAAATCCTCAAAAATCTAAATTCCTTAAAAAAATCCTTAAAACTCTTCAAAATTCCTAGTTTTAAGGATAATTCCTTAAAAGTGAGAGCACTGGCTGCGGCATTCAGGGAGGTACCGGAGGTGTGTGTTTTGCAAACAAAAACGTTTCCGTTTTTTTCCCGGATTTGTAATCACGTGTTCGATTTTAATGGAAATTGCACTGCACTCAGTTCTATTACCGTTATTAATCACACTATTTTCTAGAATCAGATTGCTAGAAATGCCATCGATTTAAAATGCATGTGTTAATAAATACTGTAACGGAAGTGATATACTTTAAAATCCATTTTGATCCGCATAAACGGATAGTATTATTGGTCGTTGAAAGCATTGCAACCTACTGGTTGAAACACGCTTATAACTGTACGTACAAATTACTTAAAGGTGACATGACACGAAATTTGTTATTGCCCCATGCCCCCATCTGAAAGAATCGTCAAAACTGGAAAGCAACTTCTTTTGTACATTTTTGTTTACGTGCTTCCTTGGTGAAATAATTCATCAGTTTTCGTGATATGCAGTGCAAACAAATTTACGTCGCACTTTGCATAATGAGTTATCGTTAAATGTCAGGTTATCACTTTTATAAGTGATTAAATTGTTTGAAAATTCACATTCGTTATGCTGAGAATAATGTAAAGCATACGTATATACAGTTTTCCAATTGACGATGTTGGATAAAAACACATAAATTATCAAATATTTGGTAGCAAACTGTGGCGTAAATTTGTTTGCAATCGGCATGTGAACAAAACTGAATTATCTCACCAAGGAAGAATGTAAACGAAAATCTGTAAAAGAAGGTACTTTACAGTATTGACTATTCTTTCAGATGGGACAATAAAAAAATATGTGTCATGTCACCTTTAAAACATACGTCTTGTTATTAAATGCACGTCATGTAATTTCTTCATGTTTTACTATTAAAAACATTAAAAATATAATAATTCATAAACCATGCTCATTTACGATGTCATTAAACCGCCGAACAAACTATTAACGTCCGTTTCAATTACAGCTTCAGTCTTTGTAAAGGCTGTTTTCCATTACTTCCACCGCTTTCCCCGCGCGGGTGTTCCGCGCTTGAAAATTTCTTAAGTTTATTATTTTGGAACGAATATTAAGAAGAGAATAGGACGAAAAGAGATTCGGGATGTCGGAGAAGTTTACAAAGAAAGGAAATCTGAGTAATTTTAATTGTTTTTTTCCAGCCACGTGAGTTAATTATAACGATCGCGCGAGATCGCCTGGAAAGTTGAAAACATTTCAACTTCAATCGTATACGTGTATCCGCGAGTACCAGAGCAGATGTATACATTTACACAAGAAACCTACTGCGCATGCCCGAACGAGATTGCTTTGCCTGCGCGGGCAAACCGGCCGTAATGAAAAATAGCCTTAAGATGATACGGAGGGCTCGCTTAATCCCTAACTTCTCTTGATCTTCACTTAAGTAATGAGGTAATGAGTCGTGGAAAACAGGACATGCACATTCCAACAACGATCAAAAAATAAATTTCTTTATCATTATCAACTTACCATACGGCCAGAAACTGTTAGTTGTAAAAATGTTGACATGAAAAAGAATGATCCAAAATAAGGAAAGTACTCGTATTCCGTGAAGATAGGTCAGGTCACTTTTTCCAACATCTGTACTCATAATCGACTTAACGTTACGAATCATTGAGAACGAATTAAGTATCTGGTGAAATATACCTATAATGTATGGGGAAGTTGGTCATTTATCATAAACGTGAATTACAACGTACAGTGAGATATTCATGAACATCGATCAGGTCTATTTATTAAAGGTGTCTGTCTGACTGAAAAATTAGTCTAGAATACTACCATTTGACTATATACATCAATTTGGTGTTTCTTCTGCGTCTCTGTCTCTCTCTGTCTCTCTCTCTCTCTCTGTCTCTCTCTCTCTCTCTCTGTGTCTGTCTCTGTCTCTGTCTCTCTCTCTCTTAATTAAGCTACAAAATCCTGATCTCTTACTACAAGCTGTATAGTCGTACACACAAAACGTTTTCGTTGGCAATCTCTTTCTCAAATACTGCAGTGAACTCTTCAATTTGGAAAGGAACAATGGTAAAGAAATCTCCCTATTCAATAACCTTACCCTCATCTTTTTCCACCTTGGTAGTGACTTCTGGTAATAATGGTGTCTTTTCATTGGCGTCTTTATCCATAGAGATATGACTACTGTTCTCAACTATCTCCGCTCTATCAGGTTTATACGATACTCGTAATGCTTCCAATATGGTGGCAAGCAGACATATTCCAAGCAACAACCCACAGAATATGCTAAACAAGATTAAGAAACCCTAATGTTAGGAAATCATTCTGTCACTCGAAACTACCTAACCTAAAACGATTTGAACTAACTAAAGATTTAGTGATGGAAATCAACATTATACCGGGTGGCCCAAAAAAAAGTACTCCTGTTTGATTCGTAATAAAATCTAAACAAGTATAGCTTTTAAAGAGAAATAATTTGCATCAAATAGAGGAGGGACTAACTTAGACTTTGATATATTACAGTTGTATTTCACTTAAAAATTCACGGAGATATTAATCTTTAAATTCGGGAGGATATTTCTGGATGTGTCTGAAATATGCAAAAATCGGCGTATCAAATATTAATCAAGATTTGCCCGACTGAAACATGCACTATTACCATGCAGTAAATAAATGACACTTGACAAATTGTTTATTATGAAACAAAGTATTATTATATCTACAAAATACAAGCAAGATTCATTCGTCCGAAATTCGCGTGTGTTTCTAGCACGAATACGTTTCCTTATTTCATGAGACCACTGCATCGCGAAGGATCGTCATTGGATCGTTCGTAGTTCTGAATTAGGGCATGCTGTCACAACGGAATTGTGAAGCGCTTCTAACTTCTGCAACGTTCTGAAATCTTGTTAAGAACACCCAAACTCTTTTGCCGTTTCTTAATCTTGGCAAGTTCATGGAGTAAACTGAGAATTATATGAAACACAATCAAACCATACAACTCCATAAGACATAACAATTAAGCAACTCCCCAGAGACATGCAACATTTTTGGAACAAAACGTAACAAAATAGTAGCGTTGATACGGTGATGTGTATTTGCAAAAAGCAATATTATTTCCTTCAATAAAGAATATTCATCCTGCTCTAACCGAGAAATAATCTACTCAGTCTGTTTGAACCCATTAAAAACATAAAAAAATTAGGCTATTTAAGAATACGAGAAATTTAAGCGCCTGCCTTCCATGGTCAGTCTTTCATGTACATTTAAGTTTGCAAAGACCTAATATTAAATACTTGCATAATTTCGAACGTTCATATTTCAGGAAACAATGAGCTAAGACTTACATGTAAGATGTCTAAATCTACGCCATACCGGTATCCCTTACAAACCTTAACGATAATTCGCTGAAATACAAGTTAGCCTAATATGTCATTAAGCAAACAAACGCTGGAGTTAATATTTGATATGCCAATCACGCCTGTCAAAAATGCATCCAAAAGCGCCAATATGCGATACGCGGTGGGCAGCGGTTTTCGTTGCAAAAGTATTCAAAACATGCAAGTTACATGAAGTATACGGAGCGAAACTTTCAAAATGGCGGGCGAACAGAGTGGAAAATTTAGGACTATTCACGTAGTTTTACAAGAAGTTGTTTGCCATAATGCTGGAAATGATGGGAAAAGCGATGGGGCGAGGAAGATAAGGGATGCCTTGTGCACAGTGGCCGTAGAATCGGAGCTGGACTCCGACAGAAAGTCGTTCTGCCGATCTCTCAGTTGGCATAGTAATAAAATGGCATGCTGCGGAAATTTTGGCTAGCTCCGCAATGCCCTGCATTGTTTCGGCATGAATCGAGATTATGGCTGTCAGCAATAAGTCGTCGACTCAGCGGAAAGCGGAGTATTAGACAATATCGAGATATAAAGATATTCCCTTAGCTATTTTCCATGCTGGGATCAGAGATTGGTGAAAACCATTCCTGAGTATTGTGAGCCTTTTTGCTTCCTTGCATGGGAAAAACAAAAATAATTATTTATAAACAGTAAGATTTCTCTTACTTTTATACAGCAATGCTCTAAAATCAGTAAAATGTAAATACAGCAAGTAAAATATTGTTGCATTTCAGAGCATTGCCCTTTTAAGCAAGATATGATCACCACCATCTACATATAACTACAGTATATTTTTACTTTCACCCATCTCAATACACCCTTCAGGTAATTAAATCACAGATACCCCTCTGGTCTAGAAGCCGCACTCTCATAACAAAATAAATTCATGAACAAAAGGTTTCCTGAACAAGGAAGGAGTTGTGACATAAATATCAAAAGATTGTATTCCAAGGAAGACAAATTTTCAAGGAATATCTTGATTTATTTCACTATAAAACAGCATTCTACAATATGGAATGAACTAGGAAATGTTTCTTTTTCTCACCTGCAATATTGATTTCATTTCTCATGACAAAAACATTTGCCAGAAATGATTTATAGCATACCACCTGCTGACAGCCATAATCATGTCACATGTTGCAACAGTGCTAAGACACTGAATGTCATGACAACAACATGGCTGGGAATATGTTTGAATCTATTCATTTCTAAAAACTAGACCCTTATTTCACACATTGGACACAGTTTCTTTTTTGAATGATTTTATTCATTGTTAGTGGGATATAGATAAATATGTAGACCACTGTTTGTTTATGATGGTCCTCTTGCTTGATCGCAGTGGGAATCGAACCCACGACTTTTGGTTTTCTTACCGACTTGACCCTGTACGTACATGTATGGCCCAGTTGGTAGAGCATTGGACTAGCAAACCAAAGGTCACAGGTTCAATTCTCACCGCTGTCAAGCAAACTCTTCTGCTTGCCCGGTGTGAACACACGCAAACTAGCATCAGTACCAGTGTATGCGACACCTTATAATAATACAATGTTCTATCTATCAGGATACTAGCATGTGTATAGTTTATTTCTATTAATATTTTTCACACTGAGAACAATAAAATGGTGATATTGCATTATTTGATGATTGTAGTTTGATATCTGAACAGCCAAATCATTCTTGCATTCCCGGGTATATTCCTGCAAAAACATGCAATAATTATAAACAATAATTATACATATTCTACAATAATTATAAGCCCAATGCCCGACCCCATCACTCCGTCTCCCTGTCAGGCGCACAAATCACCATAAATTTGTTGTCTTGGTGCACAAACCCTAATAATTCAGGGATCCCTCAGAAAACCTCATACCAATAGCATGCTGTTTAGAATTATTTCCTATATTAGACAACCCTTTGGATAAATTTTTATCCAAAATTTTAATAATACACCCTTTCCATAATTACGTCATTTGGCCTGGGAGCCTTGCACTCATAAATCTAGATCCAGGGCTCCAAGAGCAAAAAGTATGTGTGACGTAAATATCGAAAGGGTGTATTTACAGCTTACCCTTAAGAATTTGGTTAAAATTCAGGCAATCCCTCAGAAAACCTCATCCCCAATAGCATGCTGTTCAGAATTATTTCCTATTTTAATCAACCCTTCGGATAAGTTTTTATCAAAAAATTTGATAATACATCCTTTCAATAATTACATCATTTGACCTGGGACCCTTGCACTCATGAATTGTGAGCTGGGACTCCAAGAGCAAAAAGTATGTGTGACGTAATAATCGAAAGGGTGTATTTACAGGTTACCCTCAAGAATTTGGTTAAAATTCAGGCAATTCCTCAGAAAACCTCATCCCCAATAGCAAGCTGTTCAGAATTATTTCCTATTTTAAACAACCCTTCGGATAAATTTTTATCAAAAAAATTGATAATACATCCTTTCAATAACTACGTCATTTGGCCTGGGCGCCTTGCACTCATGAATCATGATCTGGGGCTCCAAGAGCAAAAAGTATGTGTGACGTAATAATCGAAAGGGTGTATTTACAGGTTACCCTGAAGAATTTTGTTAAAATTGAGGCAAACCCTAGGAAAACCTCATCTCCAATACCATGCTGCTCAGAATTATTTCCTATTTTAAACAACCCTTCGGATGAATTTTATCCCAAATTTTAATAATACACCCTTTCAGTAATTACGTCATTTGGCCTGGGAGCCTTGCACTCATGAATCGTGATCTGGGGCTCCAAGAGCAAAAAGTATGTGTGACGTAATCATCAAAAGGGTGTATTTACAGGTTACCCAGACGAATTTCGTTAAAATTCAGGCGACCCCCCAGAAAATCTCATCCATAGGGGTGTTAAACCTCATCCATAGGGGATTCTAATTGGCGCTTTTGGATGCATTTTTGACAGGCGTGTGATAAGCAAGACTATTATGCGAAAAGTCATGCTATTTGTGTCCAGCTAGGTAAGTCCCGACTGATATACAGTAATTCAATTGATGTAATGGACCATTTGCATTATAGACTAAATTTTGATATAGACAAAAATTTCATCATAGCTTGAAAGAGCATTACAAAATTAGTAATATTCCAAAGTTTCGTTGCGAAATGTTGTAAAATGCGGATAATATAGCCTTGCGAAGTTAGCCGTTTTTCAGTCATTTTGTATTGCGCACGGGAAATTGACAGCCCAATCGGGTGTTGGGGCATCAATTTCCCGTTTGTAATACAAAATGACTGAAAATTGCAAATTTCGCAAGGCTATATTATCCTCATTTTACAACATTTCGCAACGAAACTTTGGAATATTACTAATTTTGTGATGCTCTTTCAAGCTGTGACGAAATTTTTGTCTAGATCAAAATTTAGTCTATAATGCAAAATATGGTCCATTGTTTCCATATCGTTATTTATTACTTCTATTAATACTAACCACGGAATTTTAACATCGCATTGCTGTCTGAAAACGGCCCATAGTAAATAGTAACACACAACCGAACCTGATAACGCACTCCTGCTCGTGTTTTAAATAGAATACATGGTGTTTTTATTCTCAATTTAGCCATATGTGACAATGACTGGTTGGGTTTCAGAAGCTCTTGCTACAAATTGGAGCCTGAGGAAACCACTTGTCGCAAGGCTAGGAATAAATGTGCGAATGACGGATCTAAGTTGGTGGAAATAAATGATCTTCAAGAAGAAGAGTTTATCAATACTTCATTCAAAGGGAAATACCTGGTAAGAGTTAATGTATAAAACACTTGACTTGGCATAAGAAACATACTTACGTACTAGTTAATACAAAAGGAAGCCGCCACATTTGCATGTAAAATTGGTTGGGACTTTTCTTTTCCAAAGTTTGACATGCAATTTTGAAAGCCTGTCAAGTTTTCGGCATTTTCGTTTAATATTACTTTAAATTTTAAAACTATTCCTACTTTTTTGCCACAGTTAATAGAGTAGCCTAACTTTCCATGCATCTACTGTACATGCATCTTACGTGTATTAAACGAGAAACAGTTGCAAAGAAGACACATATTTTCATGCAACGAAAACGACGGCGATGTTTGAAATTGGAGAAATTCATGAAAATTGTCTCAAAATGTGATTTGACAGAGCTGTACGGGATTGCCGCGGTCCTCGTTTTGCCAATCACTTTCGCCAAAAATATCGCGTACTATTCAGTTCCGCGGTTAAAATAAATATAAAAAATAATGTAAAAATAGATTTACAGCTTCTTGTATTCGGTATAATCACATACGAAGACTACGCGCAGATTGGAAGTATTACGCCCTGACCATGACTATATAAGGCCCGTTTTATACGTCGAATTTTGGTCGCGTCGAATGTAATTAAGACAATAGATAATGAGATGATAAACCTCATTAAGCTTCATTATCTTTTGTTTGAATTGCATTCGACGAGACTGCAATTCGACGTATAAAATAGGCCTTCCCTTCTCTGATCAGCTTCTACCAGATTCCGGTCAATAATAACACCGGAAGTGAGGCGCGAGCTGCTCGCGTCTGCTGGTCGCTTTGCAAGTCGTTCAGAAGAATAGTTAAAGTTGCGCGTGTATTTCACTCTTGGAACAAGCGTTCTAAAACGAATAAATGAATAGGTATGTGTACGACGAAATCAAACTGCTTAAGCAACGTTTTCATTTCTACATCACGTTCTTATTACAAATCAAACCTTTCTCAGTTGGAAAAGCCTAAACCTGTGAGCATACAAATTGTAACGAAGGAAACGCGTCCTTATTTATTATAGCAAGTTTGCAAATTTGAATGAATTTAGTCGCGCGATAAGCATGCGCACATGTAATAGTCCACGGTTAACTTGGAGGTAAGATCCTATTGTGAGTCTTCGACAACCTTCTGAACATTTGCATCGGGTGATTCATTTAGTACGTACTCAACTATATGGCGGAAGGGGGAGTCCGAGAAGTTTGTGCGTATACCTATTGGTTAAATAACGTCATTTGTAATGTTCTTTGCGTACAAGGCGAAGGGTAGGGGCTACATTTTCCAAAAATATTTTCCGCGGTGTTAAAAAAACAAGATATCCTAAAGTACACAGAAGATTTATATAAACAAGATGTTTAACTTGGGGTTTATCTTATAGTTTTTAGGTACACTCTCTGTGATCGTGTTGTTTCAATTCTTGTATATTGTTTCGTTTTCGGGTGATAAAAAATTGGTAAATCACCTTGTAAATCTTGTAAATCGATATACCTTGTAAATCACCTTGTAAATTTCACCTTTTAAAGCACTGTGGTGAAGAGCAAAGAGATGTCTCTGGAAAAGGGAATTTTATTTGTGAGAAAAAAGGTAAAGGCAACGGGAATGAATATTTAGGCTCCCTTTGGGTGTTATAGGTTGACGCCCTGCTGTTTATATGAATGCTGAGCCATATCCTATCCTAAGCTAATCTAACCTATCCTAATCTCTGACTCTAACTTATATTCCCACTTTGGGTGTGACAACAGTGACGGACAAAAGATACAAACTAGAAATACATGCATGCAGCAGCTCCTCACTGACAACCAAACAATTACATCTCCTGAATATTGTTTCAAACTATCAGCATGAAATATTGAACATATATAACATAAGATAACATATTAATTACGTAGTATGCAAAACCAACTTTGTTTATGCGAAACGTTAATGTACAGTATATATATCTAGTTGTGCGTGCGAATCGTAACTTTCTGCATCGATGGCTTCATGTTGATTAATTAATAAACATGTAACTGTTAGCCTATGACGCAATATAATAAATATTAGAATACTGCACGGCACTCATTACGTTAGTTAATACTTGAGACCAGGGACGTCACTACCGTGTGTGTGTGCGTGTGCGTGTGCGTGTGCGTGTGCGTGTGCGTGTGCGTGTGCGTGTGCGTGCGTGTGTGTGTGTGTGTGTGTGTGTGTGTGAGGGTAACACCCCAATAATTTAAAAAGTTGGTAAAAGTTGGTCAAAATGGAAAATATTTGGTTAACGTTGGTCAAAGGTGCAGGTCAAACTTGGCAAGTCTGACAACAAAGTTGGTAAATGTTATGAAATCGTTCTCAATGTTAACAATGTTGATGCCTTCGCAATTTCTCTGCTTGAGACAAGGTGAAGGATTCATATATATATATATATATATATATATATATATATATATATATATATATATATATATATATATATATATATATATATATATATATATATATATAGCTACTTTTGAAATTCCAGACATTGGCGCGGTTACAAAATCAGTACGGCGGTTAGGCTGAGACAGAGACATAAGCCCCTTAATCCCCTCCTGTATGATGTTGTAAGACTAAAATTGACATTTTATCTGACGTATATAGTAATGTACTACTGTTTTGTCTCCCCGCTCATACAGCACAATTGAAAGGGGGAGAGAGCGCTACATGTTAATTTGTGCAATTATTTACAAAAAATAACTGTTCAGTCTATATATCCCACCTTTAAATGTTATTGATTGTAGTCACAATTGCATGCTAACCAAAAATTAACTAGTTAGACCATAACGATTATACAGGGTGTATAAAAAAAGGTAATCGAACTTCAGCGCGCTATTGTATCTGAATTACTATGCGTATGAACGAGATTTTTTCACATTCGGAAAGATCATGCTTTTAGCTGTTGAATGATATCTTCATGCCAAATGGATAAGAAATGAGCAAATACGAATCCGATAAAAAATGTTAGTCAGAATAGCATATTTTCGCCGTTGAGAGTTGGGTCTAAAACCATTGAAATGAACCCCCTCTGGTACTTAAGTTGATGAATTTCACTTCAATAAACGACGCACATATTCATAATTATTATTAAGTAGGGATAAATCTTAGCTAAGGGCATGTTCATATGAGCCCAGTTAACCGAGCTGGCCCGCTTTGCCGAGCAGGCCCGCTTTGCTTTCACATGAGGCGGGCCAGCCCGGCAATCATATCTATTCATAGTAACGATTTAGCTACGACACGTTCGTCATTAATTTCTTTTTCTTTTGTTATGCATTGTTTTAATTAGGCACAGAGGTGAAAATTTGCGATTTTGACTAACATTTTTTATCTGCCTCGTACATGCGTATTTTTTCTCCTCTTGGTATGAAAAGCCTGTCATTCAATAGCTAAAAGCCTGATCTTTCCGGATATGAAAACCAATTGTTCATACGTCGAGTGATTCACGTATAATAGCGCGCTGAAGTTCGATTACCTTTTTTTTATACACCCTGTATGTAACCAATTGCTTGTAGCAAAGTTACTCACAGAAATGTACATAAGTGTGTGTAATCAGTGTGCTACCATTTTCAGCTAATTGTTCCAATAATTGGAATCTTGCTAACAGCGGGCAATGTTGGCGAGAAATTGATAAAGATCTGATGACGTGGCAGGCTGCTTATGACTTTTGCTTGCTGAAGAATAGTAGTCTTTTAAATTCAAATGATGGTACAGTTATTAACAAGACATCACCTTCTTTGAAAGATGGGAAGCGATGTTGGACAAACAGTACTCAAATTAACGATCCATTACAAGGCTTGTACTGCCTTGATGGTGGACAATTTAATGCCAATCATAGACAAGGATTATATGGATACCTGACCTACGCTGGCGAAGAAGAGAGATGTACTATTATTCGTGAGAGCCAGAATGGCATTTGGGAAGATATCCCTTGTAGTGCTGGTCACTCGTTTGTCTGCAAAAATAGAGAACTTAAGAGCACGGTATTTATTGTCTACATTTCTAATTATTTTATTTTATTTATTTTATCAGTTTTAGCTTTGCCAACTAGGGCAGGGTCACCACAACAGCATATGCTAATTACTGTTGGCCCTTTTACCTAACCCACCCTGTTGAAGGAAACCGGAACCCGGGGAAACCTTTCGGCAGAGCGTTGACTTTTACTCTTTTCACACGAGGACTGGGTTCGAGTCGCATTGAGAAAGTACTCACTGAGGCTTGAACCTGCGGCTCAAAGGTGAAAGGCAAGTGCGCTAACCACTTGGCCACCGAAGCCCCAAATATAGCAACCAAATATAGCAACCGAATTAAGCCCCATAAGGTAACTAAAAACAAACTAAGCTAAGCAACAGTAATGATAATCCTAGCTTGCCACTAATGAACACTGCATGTGTGGACTAATTCCGCACACGTACCGGGGAATTACTCTGGACTGAGTGTAAATCGCTAGCGCTTATTCAATATTCACAACACGAAAGCCAGCATTTTGTTGTAATATAAAAACATATTTCTTATTTGCATATACTTCTAGCTTCTTCCAAAAAATATAAAAGATTAGTATGGTAAAGTGAAAAGAATACCTCGGCTTTAAGGTCATCGGTAAAGATTGACCAAGGATCATCATAATTATCAACATTTTCACAAGAATACAAACCTTACGTTCGTTGGGAGGAGTTGCCGGAGGGGGTTAATGACTTTTGTTATGTACGCTCTTTAAAATGTTGAACGATGCATCCATCTTTTTTCTTGAAGTTCAATAGTTGCGAGTACGTTTTTGGATTGGATAAAGGGCAGAAAAAAGCGCACTCTCTGTACGCTTGTGAAAATGTATATAAACGGCGATCCCTAAAAATAAAGTCCGCGAACATACGTCTGGTCAATTTCAAATTGCCTTATTTCGACTTGTCTCTCATGAAGAATTGTACTTCCGTGTTGCTTCAATTCTTCTAAGAATGATCGTAATTCGTTTGAGCATGTGTATTGTAATGAATTTGTTTCACTAAGGTTACCTGGATGAATTTCAGACGTCCGCGGACAATACAAATGTTTGACTGAGTCATTAAAGCCTTATTGGCTATGAATTTTTTAGAAGCCGTAATAATTTTAATAATTTGTGAAAGTATACGGAGATTCCTGCACTTCATCATATCTGTCATATTCCTTACTAACTTCCTCCCTTTGTTTAAATGCTAGACCATGTTGATGGCATGCGTTCATCCTCTTATATATGTACATGCTTTAATCCAGCTGAGTAGAAATGTTTATTAATTTCTACTCATGGCCACGGCCTTTTACGTGTTAGTAAAACTACCTGTTGAGTCCATGAATCATGGTTTGAAAAAACTACAAGCTGCTAAAACATTCTTTAAATAAAATTGAATTTCTTCCCTTATTTAGAATGATCCTAAGAAATCTATAGAGGAGAAGGTATACTCGTTTCATTTCTAATTGTGTACCAGTTTCCACTTTTAAACGACTTGAAATTTAGCTCTAAAATTTAAATTTGAATCGTTTGATACTGGATTTCCTTTGATGGCGGTGAAAAACTGTTCTCTCGGCCAGCCGGTTTCTTTATGTTTTTATTACAAGAATTGTTTATGGAAAATTTTTAATATATTGCCTTGTTACGATCAACCAAGGGCAACTTGCTTCACAAAAATGAAAGGTTTTAAATGAGAACTTGTTCAAGCCAACACATTAATAAGAAATGTGACAATAAAATTTAAGCATGACAAAGACGAAGCATATAGTACGTGATTACGTGGCAGAAAACCACGGTCAACCGACAACTTAATACAAATGTAAGACAAAACAGATCAGGGCATTTTTAAGGATTTTTGAGTGGGGATTGGCAAAAAGGGACCACTCACCGGCGCAGCGAATTATAGGAATGGAACTAAATATTTCTTCAATTTTTGTCAATTTTTTTATATACTAGTGATTTTGATAGGGGGTATATTTAACATGGGAAGGACAACATGAGGTAGGGGGAGCCTTGGCCCACCATTCTATGTTAAATAATGCCCTGAAACAGATTGATCAGTAAATCCTTATTAATTAATATTTAATATTTGAACTAAGATATGGACAAGTTTTTGAAACTAATTTTCCGACTTTTTTCAAAGCCATTATAAAACCTCTCTTTTTTATTTAATTAATATGCGTCTTTAGTGCCATGCACATGCCTCGTTTTTATGTAAATTAATTTGCTTTCCTTACACAGGGCAAGATACTGAAGGCTGTACATAGACTTGTAGATGTACCTTTCAAGGTAATTAAGTATTGATAACTCTAATATATATATATATATATATATATGTACCGTCTGAATATCTAACACCATTTTGGTTCGCTATGCTTCTAAATGAATATGAAATAGAGTTAATGTTCAGAAAAATTCGAAACATTCGAAATTTGGGCAATATTTACATTAGAGGGTCCTCACCGCATTATTATGAGCAGAACCGATGCGCAGAAACTTTAAAAACACAGGTATTCGGTATATTTAAAACACGAGCAAGAGTGCTAGATCGGCTGCTCATGTTTTATTTAGTACTTAAAAACTAGCTGACACAGTATATGAGTTCATTGGCGAATAATTTTTAAAAGTCAACGTTGTCTGAGCCGAGAAAATCGAAGCTAAAGCTTATGTGAATTAACATTATTTTTATCACATGCAAGTGATTTCCTTTGTCTTTTCCTCATGAATTATTAATGAGTTTTTTAAATTATGAAATATAATAAATTCAAATAGGCTAAGAGTAGTTTTATTGAAATACTGTGCCAAAAGGTGTAATTGTAATCAGTGCCAAGAAATAATTTAGTGCAAGTAACTCAGTAAACAAAAAATAATAGTTGAATAAACACCTTTTAATTTAATTTTAATTTGCCATTGTTATCTATTCTACACTCATTAATAATTCATGAAGAAAAGTTAAAAGAAATGAATGTTTAATCAATGTTTGTAAATTGGATAAAGATTTGTTCTGATTTACATAAACTTCAGCTTTGATTTTCTCGGCTTATAGACAATGTTTATTTTTAAAATTACTTCGCAATGAACTCATAAGATGGCTTGTTTTTAAGTACGTTAAAACATTCGCATCCGATCTTTTTCTGATATAGAAACTCTCGCCTTCGGCTCGAGTTTGTATATCAGATAAAGATTGGCTGCTCATGTATATCAGAAAAGGATCCGGCTGTTTTGTGTTTTAACTAGTAATTATTTTTTATACTGCTGCCATTGTTTATCTATACCTATTTCTGTCATTGTTATCTATACCTTTTTTAGGTTGAAGAAAAGCTGTCTGAAAGAACCAAGGAAATCATTGGAATTGTCAACTCAAGCAGCTTCAAAGGATCACTTAAAAGCACAACACAAAACAGAACAGTAGGTATGAATCCCGTTTAAGTGCCTTGTATAGTAATGTCTCAACCCACAAAAGTATCTGTGGTGCACGAGCTAGCTCTGCAGGGGTGTACATAGAAATGACTAGAAATACATGCATACAACAAACATATTCCATTCTGAGCCTATGACTAAAACTATAATATAAGTAATTATGTAGCTGGACACAGTCCAACTATCATACTGTAGTTGGGGATGTGAAGAACATGCATGTATATTGTGTTTCTTGATTTTCTATATTTCGATCTTAGATATTTAGTAAATTAAACAGTTTGAAATGTTTATATTAATTAAACGACGCGATGGAGTTGGCGATCAACTTTTAATTGCACTAGCATCCAATCTCGGTTCAACACGTCAGCTCACTATTAATTAAATTGCAAGCTTTTTATGGAAATATAGGTTTATTTAAAACAGTCACACAGTAATGAAACGGGTATTAAAGGTGTATAAACACCAACAACCCCATTTAAAACTACACTTTGTAATGCTATTTGGCCTAATTGTTTTTTCCGTGTTTTATGGCACAACCTTTGCCCTCATGTCTGTTCATGTATTTTTAATTTTTTTCAAAACAAAACCCGCTTCACCATTTTTTTTTCTAAAACTATAAACTTATTACTCGTGTTTTTTAAAATATTGCCAATAACAATGCGCATTATCTTTTAGATCAGTGGGATGTCCATCCACAAACAATAGCCATGTGCCCGCGATCGTTCATGACTTTTCACTCTGCCAGCTTTTATATTCCCGATTGTAGATAGCCGAGCAAAACTAGTGCCATTTCTACGCGCTCTGCGCGTGCTTGCATGGGGAATATTAACTTTGGGATACATTAATTGGCTTAACTGGAGAACAGCCGTTTAATAATCTTTCTATAATAATCTTCGGTGTTCGGAACAAACTGAAATAATGGAAAGTATTTTTCTTCGGAAGAAGTTAATTTTCTTTTCGAAATGTTATTAAATTTCATTCTTTTCCAATTCCGTAGTGGAAGTGGATACCGCTAACCTTGATCGTTTACACGAGTGGAGAGAAAACATAACGTCAATACCGAACGTAACTCTTTGGAAGTTGTGTCAAAATGAACTAGATTGTAAGTAATAGATAAGGCGTGATCGGTCGATCTCTATTTTATGTACAGATACGAGATACACCGTGGAAACATCTGCGCATGCGTCAACATGACTGAAATCTGCCTTGCGAACGTATAGTCTCTATGCCTGTTTCGGAGGTTGTCGAAGACTCAAAATGGTCACGAAAAGAGTGACGTCCATGTGTGTCTTTCTGCAAAATTGCAAGCTAAATAATGAATGTGTCACCCTAAAAGTAGAAATAGTTATTGTTTATATACAATGCAATTAAGAAATATGATGCGCACCTGTCATACGATGCACATTATTCTCAATAACTTTTCGTCACAGAAGTGACGGGGGTTCAACTCTTAAAAAAAATACAGTTATCAAAGTGAGTCGATTGTTCGTTTTATGTATTAGCCTTATACTCCTGGCAACTTCATTTGCCCATATACTTTACATCGAATTTTTTTCACCATGGAAGCGCGCAATACATGCCCATTCAAACAAGGGATATTTGTTTACTTTGCATTTCTTTACATACTTTAAATGTTGGAGGACTTGTGATTGATTAGGACCTAGTCTACCCGTTTTCTGTATTTTCTTGTTTGCTTCCTTATCTCGAATGAGCAATTAGCCTTGTTTATGTTTTAAATAATAATAAGATATAATTTAAATTGTTCGCCATCTTTTAGTTCGTGCGCAGTTCATGCAACTGTTGTCGCTGAAGACGACGTTTTTATCAGAGTTATACTGACTTTGATTAAATATAAATTTTTTAAATTTTTGTCATGATTTATAAATATATATATATATATATATATATATATATATATATATATATATATATATATATATATATATATATATATATATATATATATATATATATATGTGATTATTAATGCTAATTACATGATTTTACTAAACTTAAAGGGAAATGGCAATATAAATTTTTATTTTCTTATTTGAAAGAACTTTTGAAACTGTTTAATAACTTATTTTACCGATTTTCATAACTTGCTTAGTTCTTGGAATATTTTTACTTGAAGTAATGAGATGTCCGCCATCGTGGATACATTTTTGATCTCATTAACGGTATAAAAGTATTCTGCTGACCAAATATTGATTGGTAGATGTTTTACAGTCGTGGCAATCGAAGTGATCCGAAAAATGTTGGCCAATTCATTTCCTAACTTGAAGGAACACCTCTGAACAATTCCTCAACAATTTGATAAGTTCCTTAAAAAGTTCCTAACTTTCTGTTTCATTGACCAATCAGATTGCTCAAACATAAAATATAAAATTTGATTGGTCAATGAAACAGGAAGTTAGGAACTTTTTAAGGAACTTATCAAATTGTTGAGGAATTTTTCAGAGGTGTTCCTTCAAGTTAGGAAATGAATTGGTAAACATTTTCCCGTATGCTTCTATTGGCACGACTGTAAAGGTTTCAAGTAATTTTGGTATTTCCAAAGGCATACAGAGTATAATTTTGAGTGCAAAATGATTAGTGGTTGTCTAGATAAAAATATTGCGTGACCTCTGTTGTGACGCAACATGCATGCATATCTACAGAAATCCAAGATGGCGGAGAATTCATTTCTTTCCATTAAAATATTTGTAGTGGTAAGCAAGATATGAAAAAGCTCTGAAAGAGTTTTATATATGGTTTTGTTGTATATAAACACGAGCAGCTTTGGTGCGTGTTGTGTTCCGATATGCAAACACCAACCGTAGGCCAGTGATTGTATATTAGATACAATATGGACGAAAATGGTGTGTTGCGTGTAAAATGTACGAATCTAATCAGTTATGTTGTTATGTTATCATCCAAAAAAGAGAATTTAACTGAGAAAATTCAAGAAAAAGTTTACGCAAATCGGGAGAATGCTTACAAGAACTCATTTTTGAGCATTCATTTGTTTTGATTGATCGATCATTGAATTTCATAAAACTAGTAATGAACAAATTAACACTCTTGTTCAACAGCCCTTTTTAGTATTTTGGTTTATAAATAAATTTGTTCCCAAGCCCCATGCACTCCAGATTTATTAATTGTACCTTTGTCCAATTAGTATAGGAAATTACACGGTTCGATAAGTTAAGCACGCAAGCGTCGTTCTTGGCAACATGGACACCAACGGGGGAACAATGATTCTTGTTTGAAATCACCATGGATAATAAAATACATGGATAGGAAACTAGCTGACGTGACCTAATGTTTTCAATGGGATGATGGCGTTGAAACCTAGTTGCAAACCAAATTCTCAAAAATGGCATGTTTAGCAATAATACAGCTAAACATTTTAGTCAAACAGCAAATAAGTATAACTAGGTCATTCTACGATGAAATCTCTAAGTATTGCCAGTCAATTTTAGCAAATATTTCAAGCACTAAACAGTGAAAAATGCATCGCAAATTTCGTTAAAATCGGCGACGCTAATTTCGTAGCTACAAATTTCGTAGCTAAAAAAAATACAAAACAAAGACGAAAATATTTACTTTGAATACTTTGTCGTGGCTTAGCTAGGCATGTTTTTAAAACAATTAGACCAGTTTATGCTTCAATATTACTCTTTTAAAGCGGAAAATATGGCGAAACTACAAAAAAGCTGAGAACTTTGGCAATATACGCGTGACGTCACAGATTGCAACTAGGTTTATACTGTGACGTCAGAATGTTTCCTATCCAGTTATTTTACAATCCATGAAATCACAAAGACTGCCGTTCTTGATTTCAAACAAGGGCGGATGTCACCATCGATAACGGCTCGACTGACTTCCGGTTGGCATCCGTGTTGTCAAAAGCGTCGCTTACTTAATACAATGTTTCTTGTCATTCAATATCAGTGTAAAATTGACTATTAATGGATTCAAGGGAGCAACAGCATTACCCGCTTTTGTAATCAATATTTGGGCGTCCAAAATTCCAGCAGGCTCTGTTATAATCGCCACAACTATGCCGATTAATGTTTAATCGGAATAGTCTTTAGCCAATCAGAAACGAGTACCTTGACTAAAACGACATTAATAAAATAACTGTATAGCTCTCCAGCCATCAAATTGCAGTAATTTTGTTATAAATGAAAACATGAAAATCTGTGCATGATTGTTTATAGGTGAGGTTAAAAGGATTACAATCCAATTGAAGAATATCACGGTGGACTGCAGCGCTTTGTCGTACGTGTATATTTTGTATAATTTACGGAGACTATTAATCATCACTAAGAAAATGGATGAGCAGTAGGTTTTCTAACCTAGCGCAGAGTTTTTCAATTCAGCACATGTGGACTATTTTGAAAAAGAGAATCCTCCCAAACTAATCGGATTTTTTTCAGTACCTACCATGTTTTTCTCTTGTACTATATGTGTGCAGTTTGTTTCCTTTTTAGATCGTATATATTAATTATGATTTAAATTCCTTAATACTGTAATTACACGAACTATATATTTATCTTTGACAAATATTTTGCTTACCGCTTTTGGAAGGAATCGTACGCGTTTTACTAACCACGTTTTATTGCCTTACTTTTTTCAGCCATTCGCCTTGTCTTGCGCGTGCCGACATTATAGTATTGGATTATATTGTTAAGGGGAAACTAATAACGAAACTAGAGGAAAATGAAAGAGTATCTTTAATATTTTCTACAAATTTGAAGAGCGTCACAAGAAAAGAGGTAAGCAGTGATTATAACAACCTTAATCCTTGGTTAAAGCACATCAACGTTGTGTTGTACGGAAATTCACATAGGAGGAACGAGTGTTTGAATGACGTGTTTCAAAATTGAAATCTTATTTAATTTGACACTTTTTAGTCGCTTAATGTTCGTCCATATATTTATAGTTAGCCACTTTTTCCAGAGTGTAGATATTACCGCTGTCTAGACCAACAGTTGTCACCTGTTTTGTATAATCGTGGCGAACATGGTCAATAGAGATTGCAAGTGACGCCATAGGAAATATTCTGATGTATTCATTATTTCAACTTCCACATTTTTGGATGGGAAGTGTTCATAATGTTAAATAAAAGCATGCACTTCCTGACTAGCCTTGCAATTTTGCAGATTTACTTCGGTACGTTGAGCTCCAGCCCAGTTGGTCGCTTTAATTTAACATGCTTAATCTGAATTCTGAAAGGACAATTCTGGCGAATTCTGACAGACGCTTTCTCTGGTGAATTCAAACAGATGCTATACGTGATATTCTCGCGTGACTGCGAGACGTGAATAAGGGCCAGGCATCTGATAATGCTCTGTTTATATATGCATGATCATAAATCCTTGTTCACTATGAAGAAAAGGAATGTTTGGTATAATCTTATTTAATGAGGCAATTGTCCAATATACCATCTCCTCGTCGAATTTTAACCGTACTTTCGAACTATTAATAAATACGTAAAATTTCAAACGTTTTTGTTCACGAGAAGTCGTTTCAATGTAAAATTCTAGGACATAAATCCTCTCTCCTTTCATGAGCCGCTCTAGTACGGTCTTAATTTATTTGCTCTTTCATTGATCTTTTATATCTGCAAAGCTTAGATTTTTATATAGAGCGCTGAATAAAGAGCGCTGTATATAGAGCGCTGAATTAAGACGCCTCTGAAAAGGAGAATGATCCATTCTATTACATAACGACTTTGACAAAACCATGCGTTCTAAGACGGTTATTAGAAAGTATATACACTGGGCAAAAGAATTGTGAAATCCATGGTATGAATCAATAGTGTATCAATTTTCTATATCCATAGTATGGGAATTGCAATTAGTATAGAAGGATTGGGTTTCCATATTATTTCCAGCGAAGATCCATACTATTTCCATAATAAAGATTTGGAAAAGAATTCCTGTGAGTCAAAGTATTAGCTATACTTTTGTCCTTTCCTTGTTTCAGGTAAATTGCCTATATTTGGATGGTGTTGAATGTGAAGGAATGGCTGTTGGTAAGATTGATGGTGGAAATATTGAATGTTTGGCCGATCATTTAACAAGTTTTACAATGGTGGTACTTGATAATGGCGCGAAGGTATAATATGGTGATAATTGTAGTTATTTGATGTTTAATTAATGACACATTTTGGCATAAAATAAAATAAAATTTTGGCATAAAAAAGTTTAAAAGTGGCAATAGCCATACAGAAATTTCAAAATTGTCACAAGCGGAAAGTTACTTCTCTCTTTATTAGCAAAACAACTATATTTTCCAAACATTTGAAGTGGTTGTCATGATTACATGATAGTCTTAATTATTTTTTGAAAATTGAAACCAGAAAGAAAACACGCCTTTTAATTGCAAAATTTTTAATTTAGAAAATATATATTATGCGCAATATATGCTTCAATTTTAAAATGGTTATAAAACTGAATTGCCTTTTCCTGCAAAACTTTGAGAGAAAATTCTATTCGCGCACGTTAATAACTTTGCACTCCTCTTGTTGAATATTATTAATTATCCACAATAATCAAAACGGCTAATTTATTAAAATACTCTGAATATATTAATACGCTGTCTTTTTTCCTTATACGCAATTTACATCAGTTCTTAAAGAAAAGAATGCATCAATATTCAAAACAAACTAGCCTTAGGTTTTACGATTTTCTGCAATCAAATTTTCCTGATCTTTTCAATATGTAGTGAAAACATATAAACTGTTGGTGGTCGTCTCATTAATCATTTCAAGTTTCTGAATAATGTTTTTCCTTTTCTCCCACAAATGATATATTTATGCCACTCCTGAAATTCACCACAAAGTCATGCGCCCGCGGTTGTTGATGAACTTTAGAGTTCGCTAATGCTTTCTCGGGTGTAAAAAGTCGAGCAGAATTAGTACCCTCGCCCGGGCCCGTTGGCAGGGACGTCACTACCGGCTGTGTGTGAACCACCCCCCCCCCCAAATAATTGGAAAACATCGGTTAAAGTTAAAGTTGGTCAAAGTGGCACGTCAAATTTGACAACGGTTTGTCAAAGTTCAGTTGAGATAAAAGTTGGTAAAATTTGGTAAAAGTTATGAAATGTCCCCCCCCCCCCGTGGAAAATATTTGAGGAAAATATTTTTAGGCGTTGGTCCAAATTGTAAATGAAAAGTTAGTCAAAACAAGAGGACTCCCACCCCCTCCCCAAAGTTGATGTCTTCGCAACGTCCCAGCCCGTTGGTTCTGGAATAACTAAGCTAGAAGAAGTAGTAACAATATGATTCATGTTTCGCGAGCTACTCTGGTTTAAATAAATGATTACAAAGCCCGGTCGAATTGTAATCAAGAGCCAATGTTTCGACACTGCGTTCTAGTGTCTGGGCTTTGCAATAATTTATTTAAACCAGAGTAGCGAGTGAAACATGATTGATATACCTGGTTGCAGTGAACGAACAAACTTTAAGACTGTATGATTATTACTAGAAATACATGCAGGCGGCAATCCTTCGTCTATATCTTCCAAACATTGACTTAACTTGAAGTATTAGTAATTGGCCAACAATGAGCGCAGGTTTAATTAATTTTTAAAATATTTTTTGTACAAAATGGCAAAAATAGTCGAATGATACTATGCAAATATGTACGACTCCTACACAACACTGATTTGCCATGATAAAACTCCAGGTTTTACGAATCCAAAGCTTTGCTAAATAACTAACATTATGTTATAATTTCCATCAAATTAGAGCAATTGTCAATTTAATTGGTCCCTATAACACCCCAAAAATAGGTTACAGTCGGGCACGTGCAGCCTTAATCTTTGGGCGGCCTTAAAGGCTGAGGGTCACCTGTTAAGTTATTTCATTTGATTTTCTGCACGAAGATTTTCAGACTTGACTATGTGCGTATGCTCATGCAGCAGTATGTTCTAGAAATTAAATAACATCGCCAACAGGTGACACTGAGCCTTTAAGAAGATCATCACTCGAAGTCATGCATATTTGGTCAAGAAGAATTTGATGTGGAAATTTTTATTAGAACCTGAAATTAATATATAAGTTGAAAATAATATCTTGGGTAAAAATATCCAGAATATTTATGACGTCATTCTTTTACCATTATTGTTGTTTGGAATTTGTTCGAGCTATCTAACGAATATTAATGATGAGTTTCTAAATATCGAGTATCTATTTTTTTATTTATTTATATTTAGAAAGAAACAACAATTATTATTCAACTATATTTTAGTATATTATTATTACTATAACGTATTATATGTTCAATCGTCATGCAAAGTACCTACAAAGTATGGCGGGTGATGTGTGTCAAAATTCAATAACACATTTGGCAATGATAACGTAACATTTTGCTACAATAATAACACATTTGGCAACGATAAAGTAACCTTTTGCTACAATTTTGTGGCGGTTACAAGACATTTATTAACAATAACAAAACATTCAATGACAAAGTATTATTTTGCAACAACATAAACGTATCGTTTTAATATTTGCCAACAATCGTACATTTGGCAAGTACAATCCCGTGACGCAATTGGGCACTAGCTCCAAATGGCGCGAAAACGGTGCATAAATGGCGCGTAATTATTTTCACACAAAATGGCGCTCAAGATATCGAAGAAAACGGAGTACGAACTGCTCTTATAACGCGATTGGAAATGTTATTGGCTGATGTAACGGAATACCTTTCAACAGAGCTTGATGATGTTATTGATCGTATTCGCGATTTTCCGGAAGACCTTTATCGATGCCTAGCAAATCTGACAGCACGAAATCCCGAAATTTACAGCGAATTGCCACATCAGGCCAGACTTCTCGT